GGGGCCTCCTCCCGCTCTTCCCGCAGGAGCGCGACCTGATGAAGACCTTCCGCATCCCGGCCGACACCTTCATCACGTACATGCTGACGCTGGAGGACCACTACCACGCCGACGTGGCCTACCACAACAGCGCGCACGCCGCCGACGTGGCGCAGTCCACGCACGTGCTGCTGTCCACGCCGGCGCTGGAGGTGAGCGCGGCGCCTCCAAAACGGGCCGCCCTTTTTGGACCTCAAAAAGGTTGACGCTTCCGCCGTGCTCCAGGCCGTCTTCACAGACCTGGAGATCATGGCTGCGATCTTCGCCAGCGCCATCCACGACGTCGACCACCCCGGCGTSTCCAACCAGTTCCTCATCAACACCAGTGAGTCGGGGTGCGGGGAAGGGGCACGGGGAGCGGGTGCCGCGGCGCTGACGGTGCCGCCTGGCAGACTCGGAGCTGGCGCTCATGTACAACGACGCCTCGGTGCTGGAGAACCACCACCTGGCCGTGGGCTTCAAGCTGCTCCAGGAGGACAACTGTGACATCTTCCAGAACCTCAGCAAGAAGCAGAGGCAGTCGCTGCGCAAAATGGCCATCGACATGGTACGGGGGGGACGGGGCGCTGCGCCGCTTCGGGCTGTGGGCGGTCGCAGCAGCGCTGAGCTGCGTGTCCCCAGGTGCTGGCCACGGACATGTCCAAGCACATGAACCTGCTGGCGGACCTGAAAACCATGGTGGAGACCAAGAAGGTGACGAGCCTGGGCGTGCTGCTGCTGGACAACTACTCCGACCGCATCCAGGTGAGCGGGAAGCGCCCACAACGGCACAAATCCCTTGCTCCCGGTGGGACCGGCACGGCGGGYGAGCGGCGATGCCGGCGGCGAGCGACGCGGTGGCCACACGCAGGTGCTGCAGAACATGGTGCACTGCGCCGACCTCAGCAACCCCACGAAGCCGCTGCGGCTCTACCGGCAATGGACCGAGCGCATCATGGCCGAGTTCTTCGGCCAGGGCGACCGCGAGCGCGACAAGGGCATGGAGATCAGCCCCATGTGCGACAAGCACAACGCCTCCGTGGAGAAGTCCCAGGTGGGTCCGTGGGGATACTCCTGTGGATGCTCCTGTAGATGYTCCTGCAGGTGCTCCTGGAGATATTCCTGGAGATGCTCGTGGTGCTGATCTCRTGGCGGGGCAGGAGGTGGCCGGGCCGTGTCCCTGTCCTCTACTGGCAACTCACCCTGCCCCACAGGTGGGTTTCATCGACTTCATCGCCCACCCGCTGTGGGAGACGTGGGCCGACCTGGTGCACCCCGACGCCCAGGAGATCCTGGACACGCTGGAGGACAACCGGGAGTGGTACCAGAGCATGATCCCGCACAGCCCGTCCCCGCCGCCCGACGACGCCGGCGGCCATGACAAGTTCCCCTTCGAGCCGACGCCGGAGGAGGAGGAAGGGGGCACAGAGTCCGACACAGAGGCGGACGGGGCCGAGAGCCCCTTGGACGAGGAGGCCAACGGCGGCTCCAAGACACCGGCTGTGGACAACTCGGAAGCGTCCGAGCGCCTGCGTCCCGGGGCCGGGCAGYGGGAATCGCTCCCGGCGGACGTGGACAACAGGCGGGCGCTGCAGCGGACGCTGGCCGGGGACGGGCACCCCGAGCTGGACACGGAGGGCAACGTCACAGTGGTGCCGCTGGGCACGTAGCCGCCGGCCCCGGCTCCTTGTCGCCGRACGCGGCGGGCTGCGGAGCGGGAGGGAGCCCGGCTCCGGGCCCTGGGYGCCGCCGGACACGGGTGGTTTATTTATGTGGGGACAGGTTCACTTTCCAACGCCGGTCTCTCGTTTTCCGTAGCTCACCTGGCCTCACCGCGGGGCGCCCGCGCTCACGCTTCGCACCGCAGGCCCAAACCTCCCCGACCGGCACCCCGCTCCCCCAAGCCGGTGTCGCTCCGGTTTCTTCCTCCACCCCGCGGCTATTAAACCCGGTTTGCTCCCCGGCGCAGCCGCGTGTCGTCCCCACCCCGGCGCRGCGCGGCGCCCTGCGTGGCCGCCCGGGCCGCTCCTCCCCGGGCCGGCGGCGGCTCCCTCCGCGGCAAACACGGCCGGCGAAGGCAAATATTGAATCGCCGGCTGGGCAGGGCGCGGAGCCGGCGCCTCTCCCCTCGCGGGTCCCTCGGCYGCGGCGCACGGGCGGCCTCGGCGCGGCTCTGGCCTCCGCGCCGTCCCTGCTGCCACGCTGCTGTCCCCCGCGGCCGCTGGCCCCTGCGGGCCCCCTGCTGCCATATGCTGCCTCCCCCTAATCCCCGGCCATGGCCTGGGCGTGCGGCCAGGCCGAGGGAGGACATGGCCGGGGGGCTGCTGCCCACGGTGCCCATGGCTGCCGGCTGGGGAGGGGGCACCGGGCCCCCACCTCAGGGCACACGGAGGGAGCTTGGGGACAGGGTGGCTTGAGTGTTGCTCGTGACACGGGTGGGGGGGCATGTCCTGACAGGGAGCATCGTGATGGCTCCTTCTCCTCCTCGGGGAAAGGTGGTGGTGGGGGGGGTCTCTCGGCGCCCCTCGCGCAGGGGTGGTTGGCCCCGCTCCCCCCGCGCTCGCAGGGAATGGTTCGCTCCGCCGCCCCTCGCCAGGGGAGCCGGCCCGCACCACTGCCCCCCGCAGGGGGGGGGGAGAGGGCGGCTCCTACCACCGCACCGAGCGGAGGGGAGCAAGGTGCACCGCCCCACCCCACCCCGCCCCGCCCTGCGCCCTGTCCATCACAGCCAATCACAGCCAATCAGCGCGCCGCATGGGCCCCTCTCCCCTGACGTGGCGCTCATTTGCATGCCGGGCCCCGCCCGCTCCTACGTCAGCGGGGCTCTGCAAGCGCCGGGGCGGCGCGCGCCGCTGCTGCATTTGCTGCAGGAGGCGCGAGCGCGAGCGCGAGCTGGAGGTGAGCGCGCCCCCGGCCCGGGCCCGCTGCATGGGGGGCCGTGCATGGCCCGGGGGGGGG